ATTTTCCACAAAGTTTTTAGGAAATACAAAATGTTTTTCTCAAAAAAGTATTTAAACGCAAGCATTTCAAATAAATCACAACTCTGGACTTGATGAAGTAAAAATGAACCACTCTTTAATTTTAAAATTCACAATCGGTTGTTTTAAAATGAGTGATAAAAATCAATCTAAAGAAAAAGGTCTGGTAACTTTTTAACCTTATAAAAATTCTTTTGAACGCTTTATAAAATAGTGAAAAAGGGCCTCTAATAAAAAAATAAACTTCACTATCCTAAGAAAAGGGAAGAGGAAAGTTGTGAGTGTATATAGAACGATGCTTGGCACCCTACTTTTCCTGGATGGTATTTGTGGTCGAGGGTGACCCGCCGGGAGTGCTGTAACATATTTACAACCGGTCCAATTGGCGCACAACATTTACGATTGAGAGACCGTTTGGGAAAACAACAGGAAAACCATATTTAATGCAATAAAAAGTTTTAACATTTTGGGCGGTTACGTACCTATAATATTTCCTACAACTAAAATTGGAAAAATTGTATCACGTCATGTTTGTTAAAATTCTGAATAAAATCCAAATTTTTGTTGAAGCGTGCAACAATTGAAACAAATAAGCGAACTACCTATAAAACTGATTTCCATTTCTTTTGAGGTCACAGCACTTGGCCGGTTCAACGTCTAACTTTCTTCTTTCACTAGTGTTAGTAAGAACGGTGTTGAAACCTATTTATCGACAACTTCAACAGTTAAGTTGTGAAATGTGTATGTAATCGATCATTTCGATAGACTGGACACAATATTAGTGCTTTATAGTGAAACGTTAGTGCGAAAATTTTAACCCATTAATAACTTTTTTTAAAGGGTGAGAAGTTTTTTATGCACCACTACTATCAAACAAATGATGTTATATCAAAATAATTTCGAAGATATGACACATATCAACATTAATCAATAATTTTATTAAACTGATTAATAAAATACGCATTAACAACAAAATTTGAAAATGTTTAAGTATTATAAGTTTTAAAATTCCATTTCTTTACGTACGCGCTTATAGTAACGTTAACAGTAATGCTTTCAATGCTAATAGAGTAATTATGATAGGCAATTAAAACTATAGTAAACACATCTATAAATTAACTAGGTAGGTAGGTACCTCTAATAATTATGCAATTATAAAATTATAGATAACTTAATAGAAAATTATTCATTTTCAGTTTGATATCAGGGAGCAATAAGCAACTATTTAATTATTATTGTAATTTTATAACCTTATCTTACATATAAAGTAAATTATTGATTAACCCGTAAGTCCTTCAGAGAAAAATGAAAATCATGCTTCATAGTGGATTCAATGATCGTATAAGAACGATATTGTAATTTTGTATCATACTAAATATCAAAACTCACTTTAACAATATTAATTAGTTATTTAAATGACTACAATCCGGTTCTCGTATTAAATGCATACTATATATTCTACAGATAAAAAATAAGGAAAAACAATACATGAATTTCCTTTAAGTAAGTGAAAAATTTATTGCTAATCAAGAAGTATTCATACACATTTGCATCCGTAAGAAATATTTCTTCACATATTACCTACTTATGCCAATTAGAAAAACGTAAACGTAAATAAAAGGGAAATTTCGAAAGCAATTCTAGAAGTGTATCAACCACGTGTAAGTATGTATGTACAAAAATTAAAGAACTCGTAGAAATTGAAACAACAGGGTTACCCTATATTGATAAAAAATACTTCTTTTAGTTTTCTTCAATTGAAAACTAGCTTTAGGTACACCTTTTTAGTTTAACAGCTAATAATTATTAATTAACCTTTATAATCAGTTTCTTTAATTACAATTCAATCCAATTACATATTTGTCATATTCCTAAAGTACCAAATCAGACAAGTGTTCTCCTATTCATATTTCTACCAAATTCAGATACTATTTCTATATCATAAACAAAATCCCGAACTGAAGAGCATTTTTTTCTTGTGGTTACAAACAATTTCTACAAAATAATATGCAAATAACAATATGTTTACCACAGATTGCAATTACCTACGTATAAAGCACAAATAAATTTTATCAAAAAAGCAATTTTATGTAAATCACTTACCTACAATTGTATTTTCGACAACATTGATAATAATGAATTAATATTGACCACCTCAACTAAAACTACCACAAAAAGTGAAAGTTCGAAACTACGAGACACTAACTATAAAAAATTTAAATGTTTCTACCTGATAATACTAAAGTTTTACGTTTCGTGACCGTTATCAAATTAACTTATTACAAGACGATATTTCGCACATATTTATTCCCCTGGTTCTCTCGATAGACTGCCGCATAAAGATGAAATAAGTGGTATTTGTCTAATGTTTGTGCCTTTTTTTCCTTTTTTAAGAGATAAGCCTTTTATATACAATGCGTGCAAACAAGCATATAACTTTCATGTATACATATTTGGAGGTGACCTTTAACGGTCACACGGATGTTGCTACGAGAACGAAAAAAGTCATTATGATACACAGATTTATATTTTGAAATGTTTGAACGTGTTTTCGTCTTTTGCGGCTTGTTCCTTATTATTTTATATTTAGATAAAGGACACTAGCCTAACACATAATATGAAACGTTTGTTAGGTGCCTATTTTATATACAGTTCCTAAGAAAATATATTTTTTTAATGAATACCTGCAATTAATCAATTAGAATAGAAATTAATTGAAGGACAGTACATGCATCACTTGGTATATGTGTCCAAAACCATCGTTTTTAGCTGTTTTTTGTTTTTGATGGGACAAAGTACACCACGAATCCTAATTACTAGTAAAACGTTAATTGCCTGAAAAATCCAAATATTTAAAAACCGGTTTTCCGATTACCCCACGCGCTCAAGTTTACAACAACCCACAACCTTGGTAAGAAGAGCATACCAAGAAGAGTTACCATTACAAACGTTCGAGGTTGAAGAAATCGACAATGTCGTTGTAAATTAATTTTTATTCGTTTCTAGTACGACGATGATTCTTAACCACGAGCTCTGTTCTGAACTCATCAAATTCGCCGTTATCGGTGTCACAGTTGGTGCTTTCGTTGTGCTCTTGGTTCTTAAAATTTACGTTTACATTTCTTGCGGCTACTGTAAGAGTAACGCGAAAATGAATGGGAAAACAGTTATAGTAACTGGACCTACAGGAGGAATCGGCAAAGAAACTGCAAGGGAATTGGCCAAGAGGGGTGCCAGGGTCATATTGGCCTGCCGAAATGAAGAAAGTGGCAAGAAAGTTCGGGGTAAGTCAACATAACTTGTAATTATTCATTGATTTAGTTTCACGAAAAGTCGATGAGACAACAAAAATTTTGTTTGTATTGTCAGTTGAAGTTACAATTGTTTTGGTCTGACAGCAGCGTGATTAAGGGTTTTAATAACGTCTACAGTTTCTAATAAAAGTCCATGATTGCTGGCGTGTCTAACGTGGAATGAAAAAACAATCACCCTTCCAGATGAGCGTTTTTTCCCAAAAACTTTAAAAGTTAAGAACGGGGAAAGTATTGATTTGTCTGTACTGTACGGTCAACTTTACTCAAGTAGCTTTTACTTCTGTTCAAAATAATTCATACTTCTTTTTCTTACGATTACCGATCGATTATACAATTGCAAATCTAAATAATCACTCAAATATCAAAAACTATAATTATTTTAATGTAATTGTAAAAATTAATATCTATTATTTACCATCATTTGATATACTGAGGGAAGAACACTGTTGTTTCGTTTCATCGGAATTAATTACTGTAGAACAATTATGGTAATTTGTTTGTGTTATTTGACAGTGATATTTTAATCGCTATTGCTATTGCAATTTTTCCATTAGTCAGAATATTGACGTAGATTACGTACGAAATACCCAATAAAATAATAAAAACATAACTTCAATAAAATTATATTAACCATGTAAATGATTTTACGTTTTACCTACATCCCTATTCACTTTTCTCATTATTTTTAAATAAAAAAAAATTTAATTAACCACCACGTGGTGTTAAGAATTACATTGTATTTTATTGTAGAATATGCTGTGACCTTTTAATTCCATGAATTTTTTTAATAAATGTTCGCGTTAAAAATCCCAATAAACAATTACTCAACTACAAGGTGACGAAATAAACTGCTTACTGTTTTAATTGAAAATTGATACTAACGAAAATTTGAAAATTAATTACCACTTTTTATTCCTAATTTTAGACGAATTGGCGAATTCAACTGGAAATCAAGATATTGTAGTCAAGAAATTAGATTTATCATCCCAAAAATCAATCAGGGAATTTGCAGCAGACATAAACAGAACCGAGCCGAAATTAAACATTTTAATTCACAATGCCGGCACAGCAGAATCAAAATTACATGTCACAGAGGATGGGGTGGAATTAACCATGGCCACAAACCACTTTGGTCCCTTTTTATTGACGCATTTATTAATTGGTAAGTTTTATAATTCATTTAATAATACAATCTAAAACCCCACAGGCTCTTTACGTAATTATAAAAAAAAATTATTTCAGAATAAATCCAAGGGAAATCCCTGAAAGATTAAATGGTCCATTTCCATAACTTATACATAATTCTTATTGTTCTTTTCCAGATTTACTTAAACGATCAAAACCAAGTCGAATTGTTATTGTGGCATCTGAGCTTTACCGCCTTTCGTCTCTAAATCTAAATAAACTCAACCCGACAGATACATGGTTTCCTGTCTATTATTACTATGTATCAAAATATGCTAATATTTGTTTTACAAGGGAATTAGCCCGAAGATTAGAAGGGTCGGGTGTAACGGCTAACTGCTTACATCCCGGAATGATAGACTCCGGAATCTGGAGGAATGTTCCGGTACCGCTCAATTGGCCCCTGAAGCTTATAATTAAGGGCTTTTTCAAAACACCAGAACAAGGTTGCCAAACTACCGTTCATTTGGCTGTTTCAGAAGAAGTTGAAGGTGTTAGTGGAAAATATTTCATGGATTGCAAAGAAAGGGGTCTAAGTCGAGGTGCCATGGATGATGCCAAAGCCAAAAAGCTTTGGGAATTGTCAGAGAAAATAGTAAACTTAAGTGAAACAGATCCAAAAATTTAAAGACAATTTCTAGTGCCTTCAGGTTTTAATTCATTTTAAGGCTAAGCGTACATGTGTTACGAATATTTTTAAGTAAATTTTATTAATTTTTAAGAATTATTTTTTGTGTATACTCCAAGTATATTGAAATAAACATATTTTAAGAATAAAAGCGAATTGTTACTAACTTTTACATATCACAATAATTAATACCTACATTACCAAAATGATTAATTCAACATAGGTACCTACCTAACTTTAAGGAAAACAATAGTTATTAAAACCACTTTTCAGTAATGATACTTATATCGAATTCGAAAACAATGATTAAATATCTTTGTGCCGAAAATAAATTCATAACTTAATCACCTAGTTATATTACCGATATGGGTAATATCAATCAAAGTAGAAATTGTTAATAACACAGTAATAGAAACATATAAATATAAAACATCACTCACCCCTAAGTCCTTCACCTGTACGAGAACACATTAAAGTTTATCTTAAATTCAGTATCTTTATCACTATCAGTCATTTGTTTGTAATAACTATACCGGCCCGCGACTATCACACATACACAGTACACTGCAAAAAGACGGCACATTTCGCACATTAAATACTTGTTATTTTAAAGCACGTTAATATTAATAAATCCATGTTACATTTTAAACTATTTCTTTATGTTAACACGATATTAACTAGATATGTGTAGGTATATCATAAATTAGGTAAACTAAAGAAATGAAAAGGTATTACGTTCGTGAACTAAGCAAGCTTAAAGCAGCCATAGTATTATATGTATTACTACTCTAGTCAAAGTTGAAAGAAGATGTTTAACAAACGGATACAAATTAATGTAAAGCGCAATCCATCCCCCAAGCTATGCAGAAAAAATTAAAATTTATTTTTAATTACACTTAAAAGCACTTACGCAATATTATACTACTCATTTGCGTTTAATCATGAATATCAACCTACAATTGACACTCTTACGCATGGCACACTTTAAAAAAACTTCTGTCTTATGACTGGACTGCATGTCAATATAAATAAATCCCTGTTACGTTTAAAATTATTTCTTCGTCATAGCCAGGCTATGCGTAGGTATATGAAAAATTAGTTAAACTAAAAGAATTAAAATTAGGTATTAAATTCGTAAAGTAACCATGCTATTATATTATTACTCTATTCGATATTAAAACAAAACAGATGCAAAATTAAAGTAAAGCACAACCCACCCTTAAAAGCTCATTTTTGTGTTCACATAAATAAAGCTGTTACATTTAAAATTATTTTCCCATGTTAAACTGGATATACGCAACCATAAATTGGTTAAATTACAAAGAAAAAAGTTCTTTAAAAACTTAGAAAACATAAAGTAAACATGCTTTTACCAAGAGTTTTAAACCAACAAATGCAAATTAATCCAAATCCATCCCCAAACTCATTAAAAAAAATGTATTAGTACTTTTAACTACGTAAAAAGCTCTAATTATAATGTAACTGTAACTACCGTAAAATTAGTTTTAATTAAATTTTATTATCCAAACTACAAATATATGTACACATATAAAAAAATATCCTATTAATTCTTTAGGATTAGTTAACATACATATTATGTGGCAATGGTATATTGTAAATTCTAACTGCATGATCTGCCCCACAGCTTGCAAGTTGTAGCACTTCTTTATCCATTTTATCACCAGCAGTACCTTTTAAGGGCCTAAATCGCAATCTCCTTACTGTTAAATGATGCGCCATTCTGAAATTAAATATTCAACTATCAAAAAATTATAAAAATAAGATAGCAGCTTTTTCATTTCTCTTTCTCATTTAAACTCATTTTTTATTAAACTGAAATTTTGGGTTTTACCTGTTATCCATTTGTATATAATCCCTAAAATCGTCCTTGGGCCTCCAGAAGTGGACTGAAATAAGTCCAGTTTCAAAACCTAGAGCAATAATATAAAAATTGTGGGCTAAAACAGGTGCAAAAGCTGCTGCAGTTACAGATTCCCCTTTAAATTCCTTTATCATTATATGCTCATATTGTCCTAAAATATTATCCCTTGGTTTGTCGACATTTTTACCCCAAATGACAATTTTTCCGTCTCGAGACCCGGTAACAAAGTATTTTGAGTCGAATGTCCACGAACAACACCAAATAATTCGTGTATGAATCCCGGTTTTCTTGTCAGTAGTTGCAACTAATTCGAATTCGTTTGAAGAACTGTTACGTGTAAATAAAGACCATCTACGGTCCCGAGAAACTGATAATAGATGCTGGCAATTTGGAGAAAACTCCATTTGGACCACTGTTAATGAATGGGAAAGGAGCTTTTGACTTTGCGTCCACGTGGAAGTGTCCCTAGAATAAATACAAGCCATTAAAACGTTGAACGCATTTTTTAGTTAACATGATCAGCAAATTATTTAAAAACATTGTTCTATACCATAACAGAATAGCTGCATGTTCTTGTGTATTGGCTTTACATGCTGAGGCTAGAATGCTTTCATCAGCAGGAGAAGCTAAGGAATATATTTCGTATCCATGTCCATATAACTTTTGAACTTCGGGCCATAACGTGTTTTGAAGCAAAGTTTCCTCAGTAGGGGGTTCTACAAATATTACCATTTCATTTATATTTCAAACTAAATTAATTTAGTCACCATTTAAAATTACAGCTGTAAAATGTGATTCCTGAGGATAAGGATCCTTTTTAGAATCACTTTTAATATCTTCTATATTATCTTCATCATAAACAGCTTTGTTTGACAATCCCAAAGACGGCACCGCAGCTCCTTGAGGTCTTTCTTCTGTAACTATTAAGGTCAATTATGTATACTATTTGTCAACAAAATAAAAGAAACAAAAGTTAACTGAACACTTACATAAAATTTCGTCACCTTCCTGGTCTCCCTCAATTTTGCACAATCTTCTAAAATTTTCCACAAAGTTTTTAGGGGCTTTAAACGTCCTAATAACTTTCTCATCAGCCCCAGAGGCAAAACTGTACCTTGATAACATTGCTAAACTATTAATATCGTAGCCATGCACTTGGGGTCTTGCAATTTCATGCCAACTCTACACAATTACATTTATTTAATACTAAAAATTGTACTAAACACTTATGTTCCTATTACCGTTTTTGCACCCTTTGCAGCCCAAGGTGCGTGAATTCTAGTAGTTTGGTCATATGAAACGCTAACAACAAATTCTCCTTGGGATTCCCATGCTAAATCAGAGACTTCATCAAAGTGCCCACCCACTGTAACACTAGGCTCCCAAGTATGTGACTCCTAAAAATGATCTTTTTTTAGTATATTTAAATGTAAAAATCGCCACCCTTTAAAAATTATACCTTACAATATTTCCAAATATGGAAAGCACCATGGTATCCATGTGCCATAAAGCTATCTCCAGATGGACTAAACATTCCACCATAAAAGCCTAGCGTGTTTCCTCCAATTTCACCAACTCTCACATCTTCTACCCATAAGTTGCTCTCTTTTTCCCATTTCCAAATAATCATTGATTTGTCTATTGAAGAAGAAAGAAAAGTCATATTTTGAGGATGCCAATTAACTGAATACACCCATCCTTCATGTCCTCCAAGCACAGACTCCAATGATATAACATATTTCTCTTTTAATGTTACTAATTCTTTTCGTTTCATTACAAAATCAAATTGCTCAATGCTTTCTATATGGGATTTTACATCTATTTCCTTTTGTCTTGCTTCTGGTGAGATTTTCCATAATCGTATAAAATGATCTTGGGCACAAGACACCATAAATAAATCTCCATCTTTAAATAAAGATGTTAATAATTTTAAAAGAGATGCATAGACTAATAATTGTTACAAACCATTAATTTTGATGTCTAAACCACGTACCCAATTATCATGCCCTTCTAGTTTCTGACAGTGTCTAAGTTTGAATGGAAAATCATTTGACTTTTCTTCATCTTCTACATACAAATGTATATTCGAATCATCTAAGCTTGCTGCTAATATAATTAACTCCTGATCAGGCAAATACGACAACTTTAGTGATAATGATACTCCATAATTCAAATTTATTACTTGCATTTGGCGAAAGTCTTCTACACATTTCAAAATTATGATATAAATCAATCAAACTGTACCTACTTTTAAAGAATTGCCTACCTTTCTTGTTTTCTCTGAGCCATATCCTTATAGTTGAGTCAGCAGAAGTAGTTACCACAAGAGTTGAAGACTTCTTTGTATACATACTTTCTACGACATTTACATTACTCTCGTGGCCTTTCAATATAAACGAGGTATAATTATTGTCACGAAAAGTCCATACGATTGCTGTTCCATCAGCAGAGCCTGACACTAACTCCAACTCATGGTTGGACCCAGCAATCCACTGTACAGAATTCACCCGTTTTTTATGACCATAAAGGGTGTTGACAATTTTTCCTCCACTTCCATGCTGCATAATGAACCATAAAACCATTAAACATTCTTAATATAAAATAAGAAACGGACAAGGATAATACTTACGTTAATATCATAAATAAAAACGACATTACTGGAGGCGTAACATATAAGACTACCTCTTCCCCAATGTGCAGATGTTGGAACTTGATTACAAGCAGAAGAAACATATAAAACGTCACACATTCTATTTTATTTAACAATTTTAATAATCCTGCGATGTTCAATTTTATTTTTAACCTATATAACCTCTCCACATAAAATTCTTCTTATTATTCTTCCTTCATTTTTTAAAATTGACGCAATTCATACTCCCATATAAAATACATAAATTGTTAGACCGCTCAAATTTATGAATATATCTTTTAAAATAAATAGGTGGGGTACGTAATTAGTACATCTAATTTATAAATACTTAAATCAATGATTTTAGTACTTTTTGCAAGAAGTTTAGCAAAGTATGTATAAATTTCTATATGACTTTTGCAGATATTTCGGTATGCTAAATCACAAATGACAAATTAATCAAAATCCATAATATTCTAAATTTCAACAACTGTTAAAGTGTCGATGTTGTGTAAAAGCAGAAAATAAGTTATTTTAAAAAAATTACAAACAGTTGTAAATGTTAACTGTTATTAATTATTTATTATGTTTATAGTTTGATTATTATCTAACGTCTGTATCAGTAAGGTAAGCTTTATATTATTTTTTTAATATACTACACAAAACTTGCACCACAATAACCACAAAAAGATTTAAGCGGTTTTTGATCTAATCTATTTAAATTAAAGGTGATAATGTAATAGTATATAACATTTTTAACAATTTTCGTGTCTTTTAGTAAGACCTTAGAGTTTAATTTAAATTCATACCTGTACATGACTTGTATTTGTTTAAAAGTGTCTATTATATACCATACAAAATATTTATATTTTATGCGGTATTTTTGAAAATTCCTGTTTTATTAATTAATTGTATTAATTAATTGTGTATGTATTAAAAATAAGAATGATTCTTATGACCATTTACCGCGCAGTTTATTTGCGCATTATACTATCGTCAATAAATGTTTAAAATAATTTTGGCGCTAATTTCAATATTTTTTCATTAATTATACAAAGGAATTGTAAAGTGCAAAGGTTTAGATAAATAATGGAAACGCCCATTACTATGATCACCCAGGCCCCTCTTGTCCACAACAGCCATCCAAGAAAGAAGCCAGGACGAACAACCATTCATGCTATGTTATCAGAAAGATTGTCTTTAGGGGAAGCTGCTAAACTGGTCAGTTATATTGTAACAAATTCGAAAAAGGAATTATTAATTTATCCCACAGGAAATGAGATCACTTCACACTAAGACACCTGTTTCTGTTTTACAAGAACTCCTTAGTCGTCGAGGCATTACTCCCAAATATGAACTTGTTCAGATTGAAGGGGCTATTCATGAACCTGTATTTAGATACAGGGTGTTTTTAAGTAATGAATTTGTGGCAACAGGAACTGGCAGATCAAAAAAAGAAGCTAAACATGCAGCAGCTAAAAATCTTCTGGAACTGTTGGTGGGAAATCAGACTCCTGAACAGGCTAATTCTACCAATGGGACCTCAGCAAATACATCAACAATTGATGTGTAAATTTACATCTATTATATTTACATTTATATTTAAGTAACTTCTGATTTCTTTATTAGGACAAACCAGGTGGTATCGCCTTACGATGATAAAGTAATGGGAAATCCGATTGGATGGTTACAGGAGATGTGCATGTCTCGGCGATGGCCTCCACCATCATACGAAATGATTCATGAAGAAGGTTTACCTCATGAAAGACAATTTACTATTGCTTGTGAAGTCCTAAAACATAGGGAATTGGGAATGGGAAAATCGAAGAAATTGGCTAAAAGAATGGCTGCCCATAAAATGTGGCAAGCTCTGCAGGACATGCCGATGGAAGGAAGCAATTTACCTCAAGGTTTTGAAGATGATGAGGAGGTAAATTTTTTTTTTTGTAAAGTTTCGCTTTGGAAATCGGTATTTTTACTATCTTTCGGTTGCGTTTATTTCGGCTAAAATTACAGAATTGAAATGGCAAAGGAATACGACGAAAGAGAGTAAAAATATTGATTTCGGTGTCAGATAGTTCATTAGTTTATTAAATTTATTTCAATTATGTATTTTTTAGTTAAGCGCCAAAGTACAAAACCGCTATACCGCACTGAAAGATAGTAAAATTCAAACCCTCACGTCGACTCATTCTTGTAAAGTCTCGCAGTTTCATAAAAACTTGAAACAGTCTACAGGTGAAAAACTTAACGAACTCCAGGTAGTCGTCACTTAACAAGAAAGTCATTTTTTTATTAGCACTCAATCGATGTTCTGTTTCAGAATGTGAACCTGAATATAAAGGATTTCAATTTTGTCGAGTTCCTTCAAGAAATAGCGGCAGAACAGGAGTTTGAAGTCACGTACGTGGACGTTGAAGAAAAGTCGATAAGTGGCAAATGTCAGTGTCTGGTACAACTATCAACACTTCCTGTTGCGGTTTGTTATGGTTCGGGAACGACATCGAAAGACGCGCAGGCAAACGCAGCCCACAACGCTCTTGAATACCTCAAGATAATGACCAAGAAATAAGAAAAAAAAAGAATAAGAGAAGTTAACAGAAATTTCCTAAATCTCTTGCATCACTAAGCAGTTGTCGTCGTCGCACTGAGGGAAGATCATTGTCCGCGTCACTGCAGCTTCTTATACTGATATATGGTTATATAATACTTTAAATTTAGTGAATACGCCCCTGCAGGATATCCCACTCATGTTTTTAGGATATGGAGGTATTATTAAAATACTAAAATTATAAAAATGACGAGAATCCATAATGAAATAAGAAAAATTTATTTCAAAATTAGTAGAAAATGAAATAAGTGTAATTAAAATTCTAGTCAACCTTCTTAAATGTAGGACATACCTAGTTAATATCATTAATAGTTTTTCACTATATTAATATTGATATCTCTACTAGATTCCCAAATTTAGGTATTTAGAAATCTAGAAGAATCAAAATTAATAAAATGAAAATATATTGATAAAAACATAAACAAGGTGGCTAGGATTTTAGTTGCACTTGTTTCATTTTTCAACGAGTAATTTTTGAAAAATATTGTTCTCTGACATATCTATCACATATGTCTCAATTTAACTTTTTCGTTGTTGAAACCAATTAACTTAAGGATCAACATTAGGAATTTTAGTATTTTATTAGTATCTAATTCTAAAAAATATGTGGTATATATTGCTATGCATGGTATTCCGAATTTTTCTTCAAAAGAAGAAAGAAGTAACAAAACCTTATTTAGATTTTGTTCATTAGTGAATTATAAAAGCTTAAGTATTAATTGAGTTATATTACATATTAGGCCACATTTTTTATCTGATTCAATGGCAAAAATATGTGCAGAAGCTGCAGTGAGATGATGTCCATTATTACCTTTTTTATTACGATTATTTTTAGATGTATTTTTAAGTCACTTTATCCTTAAAAAAAACAGTACAAAACATGGATAGAAAAAGATTAAATTATTTTATTTATTACAATTAAATTTTTATTTCATTTGTTGACCTCCGTGAGGTTCAAATTGTACATATAGTTTTTGTTCTTTAGAAAAGTTAATAATGGGACATCATCAGGTCCGACGAGCAAGCAGTGTCATGTGACTTACAAGCTATACTTTGCATAGAATTAGTGGTTTTTTCAATTTTTATGTAAAAATACAAAAAGAAAACTAAAAACTCGGGAGTATTTTCTTACATACTCCAACTGCTTACAACCCATATACTATTCGTAAGGACAATGTACTATAATTAATTGTTTCATCGTTATTTGTAGTTGTTAGAAGGATTATATAAAGTAATAAAATCTTAACGAATTACCCTAAAATCTTTATTCAGTTTTTCGTTTTGGGGTGATTTAGTTAATTGTGTTTGGTTTAAAGTTTTCGCGTTTTTATGCATATCTAGTTACGTATTTATTGTGGTCGAATAATAATCGTAAGCATTTATGTAAATGTATACATTAGGTAATATGGTTATAGTTTTTGCCCTAATGTATATGAGAAAAGGGCATTTATTTAATGCAAAGTATAGAGGTTGTACCATTTTATTCTCCATAATTATTTTATTTTGCAATGTTTGATTAGCATACGTATCAATAGCAATTGGTGTAACATATTTATATGCCACAATAATTAATTTATTACATTTGAGTAGTATTTATGTGTATTATATTGGTAGAATTCCATTTCCTTTCTTATTTATTTATATCTATAATTTTAATTGTTAGGTATTACATTCCTGAGTTTTTGTGAATTGATATGTATGTTAATTAACTTTTTAAATAAATATTACGCTTATGCTTGTTTTTTAATTCATTAGTAGTTTCGCGTGTATGATTTAAATTAAATTTTACTTGCCTTAATGGCAACATACACACATTGATTATATTTTGTGAACATTTACGGTACAGTGTCTTTCGAACAATAAGTTTCACTTCCTTTTGTAATAAATCCCGAAAAAATATTGGCTACTACTGAGGGACACCCATAAAAAATTAAAAAGGAAAATCTATTAAGAAAAGTCGTGCTTCCTAAATTGCCTTAAAAATCAGCTAAGTTGATTTTTAAATATAATCCAGAGTTGACAGTATAAATAAAAATAATTTTTGTCAAATTTTAAGTTATAAAAATGCCGGCCTTATTAAAAATATTTAACAGAAATGGAATGTTTTTTAAATTGTCCAGATTTAATAGAAATTATGGCAAACAAGCTAAAGTGATGGGTACAAAAGTAACTGTTTGTGGTGCTGCAGGTTTGTTCTAAAACTGTCGTTTAACTTAGGGATATATCCGAATCGTTGCGTTAGGTGCAGTGGGACAACCCCTTGCCCTTCTATTAAAACAATCCCCTTTAATAGACAACTTATGTTTGTATGATATTGGTGGGATAAACGGTTTTGCTTATGAACTGGGATACATTGATACCATTGGCAAAGTTTCTGCTGCCAAAGGAGAAGAAAATTTAGGAGATGCTCTTTACGTAAAATGCTTTCGATGATTAAATACATATTTCTTTTCTTTTTGAATCAAAATATTAGCTAACTGTTCTACTTTTATAACAGGGTTCAAACATAGTAGTAATTTGTGCTTCACGTAAAGGGCCTGCCGATCTAACATCGAATACTTTCCAAGAAAATGCAAAAATTGTGGCAAATCTTTGCGAAAGTATCGCAAAATATTCTCCTATGGTAAGTATTCCAAATAAACCTAATTGTACAAACATTCTTAGAAGGAAAACAGTTTCGGAATAGATGTACTGTATTTCTAATTTGCAGGCTCTGATCTTAATAATTACAAATCCCGTAAATAGTTTGGTTCCTCTGGCATATAACGTTCTTAAATGTAAGGGCATCGATAGTAAAACAAGATTATTCGGCTTGGCTACATTAAATAATGTAAGAACAAACACTTTCGTAGCAGAAGCATTAGGTATCGAACCTGAATGTGTAATGACACCAGTTGTTGGAGGGGTTTCCGATAAAACTGTGGTACCCGTTTTATCAAGTTCAAGCCCTTGCAACGAATTTACCGAGGTATACAAATAATTATTAGATGATTCTTTGTGAAAAGCTAATACAGTGTAGTTTTCAAGTACCTATTTAATTATAATAATTGAATAGAATACTCACAAACTAGAGCGCGCTTTTAAATGCAACAATTTTCAGGAACAAATGCAAACAATTACCAGAAAGGTGAAATCGGCATCCCAAGATACTATGGGAGCAACTCCGGCCCTTTCTTGTGCCTTTGCAGCAGCACGTTTTGTTACTAATTTAACAAGAGGTCTTCACGGAAGAGAACAAATAGTAGCTTGCTCATATGTTAAATCAGACATTTGTCCAATGGTGGACTACCTAACTACACCGATAAGTTTAGGGATTCGTGGGTTAATTTTTTTTTTGGTACGACATTTTGAATGATGATTTTTATTTTAACAGAGGGAATATCGAAAAATTTGGGACTGCCAGATATGACGGAGTACGAAAGCTGTCTATTAGATCAAGCCATTCCTTATTTAGTTGAAGATATAAACAAGGGGGTTGCTTATTACGCATCTCCACCTCCAGATGACGACTGCTCAAATATTTTACGACAAAGAAAGGGATGCCCAGCCAAAGAAAATATCTGTCCTAATCGTTAGAATTACATAATATCGACTGTACCACTTATTACGTCCGAATGAAGTAATTTTTAATAAAAATAAAAAATGAGACGCAGTGTTGAATTTTTAACAAGCCCTTATAAATGGTAATTAAAATGTTACGAAGACTCCTATGTTTTGAAAGGTCGAAAACATAAGCGAATTTGTAAAATGGAAGAATATAAGATACTTTTTTAATGCCCTCATTTATAATTTTTAAAAGGAAAAGCATAAAATAAAAACTTACTTTTGTGCGTCCACTTCGCCAGTACTCAGGGCCGTTTCCTACAAAAAGAAAAAATTATATTTTTAGACAAGTTGTGGAGGAAATACGTCAATACAATGTTTTCGTCAAAAGACAAAAAAGAAGTACATCTTAGAAATTTATTTCTATACATAGTTTTTTACAATACATAATATTACTCCATAATTTAATGGCACAAAAATATTATATTACAAAAGAAACTTCTTTTCCTGACATTTTCCATAGATTATATAATATAGTTTATTTTCACAGCCATATATGTATAATAATCACTGATTGTAAGTTTTTTTTTACAATAAAATTTGTAGCTTTGTATGCGTAAACATAATATGTAACAGTTTTCAACTAATAACGTAACTTCTGATACTAACAATACCTTCCTTGACCTGAACCAAGAAATCACCGTAATAAATGCACATAAAGTAAAAAAACGAATATTCCTTGCAGATAAGGAAACAAGTTTAAATAACATAAATTTCTTTAAGTGATTTTTCCAACGACATTCTTACACTCCCCAAAATAATAATAGATGCTAAACCAAGACATACGACGTTTCGTGTAGGCATACCTAAATTTATTATGTAGACAAAGTGAGAAAGGAGAAACGAAAACTTTTGAAAAATACATATTGTATGGAGACAACCATTCAAAATACACATCGTAAATATTATTTTAAACATCAACCATTAAAAATGTGAAAAAGTGATTTTTATTTTAAGACTGTACTCTTTCCATGCAACCATTTCTTCCTCGTCAGTTCTCTCATTTCTTGCTTCGGCAATGTTCGCAAAAATCGTTTGAAGAAATATTTTAAGACGCGTTTCACCGGTTCCTCTTTTTTTTGATTAAATAAATTTCTAAAACCCGTATATAAAGTGATGTACAGACTACTTGCTGAAAATCGCCTCAAAATAATTCTCTCAAAATGAAATTAACGAAAATTGCTAGAGAAGAAATTCACAATTCAAACGGAAGCTATACCTTGATTATTTGTAGAAACTAAACTATGCTCTCCTTTTCGGCCTGAAGATTATTATAATCTGGCATGACTGCTTTTCCTAAAGACGCGTTACTCGATCTTAGGCCGTTTCCATTAAAAATACCTGCAAGCCACGTTCTAATAGAATTTTTAGGAAGGAGTTTCTTCTTGTTGTTATCAGCAGAGATTTGATCTCCACTAGCAGGTACAGTTTCCAAGGATCGCCACTTCTTTTGCAACTGTTCATTCCCCGCGTCATTGGCTTTCCTCCTGTGCAAAATTGTTGTATTTGGATTCGATTGCAACAAGGGTTCCTTCACGTCCTCTTTGAGACAAAAATCTTCCTCCTGTTGTTGTGGATTCAGTACATTACCGTTGGGAAAGTTGTTATTAACAAGTCTGTCTTCTGGAATTGCTATTATCTGCACCTCACCGTACTTATCACAATTTTCGAGCGACCTTGTACTTCTCCTAAGCGCCTCAATAAATTGGCTAGACAGTTCTTTCTGTTTTGTTTTGACTAAAGGCAGAGGATCGAGAGATCGGGATTCCCTAATTTTGTTCAAAAAACCTTGACTTTTAACGGGCTCGTCACAACTCGACGCTATACTCGACAAAACTCTCCTCGGACGTATTCCTCTTCTTCCACCGAGTTGTTCCACGTTTTCGAACGCTTGACTAATTGCACTATTTATTGTTAAACGGGATCCGCTATCTGGAACCTGCAACGCTAAACGGTTCGAGGCTTTAAAGGACGAAAAACGCGAAGGTACAGGACTCGCGTTGTGTACCGTGGAAGTGCTATCAATACTCGTCCCTGTTAGTGATGGAATAGTTTAAAATTGGACAATTTGGTTTTACGAAAGTACTTACCTCTTGGTACACTAGAATGTCTTCTACTTCCAAATCCACTAAAACCGAGAGCGCCACATATAGAAGCTTGTCTAGATTCATTATTTAACTTTGGGCTTTTTCGGGGCCGACAGAAAAGAGGAGGTAGATCTCCAATATCTACTTCTCGTCGTTGTATTGCTTTATCTGTTGCTCCTAAAAGCCAGTATGTAAGAACTTCTCCTTTACCTTTCATATAGACTTGTCCCCGTTCTTCGACCACATAACCCCCTAATTTTTCTAAAGCTTCTTTGCACTGTACGCTGATATGTATTTTTAAAGGCTCTCCGTTACTTTCCATCCTTGACGCTGTATTAACGGTGTCTCCGAAAAGACAATACCGAGGCATTGTCAAACCAACCACTCCAGCTACAACTGGACCTGCAAAAAATAAAAAAAAAACCAGTTGAACAAAATATCTAGGTACTGTAGTTAAATCAGTTTAATTACCAGTATGAATTCCTATTCTAAGCTTCAAAGTATCTTTTGGTCGATGTGCTATCGAATAGTTTCTCACAGCGTTCAAAAGGTCCAAAGACATTGATGCAATTTCTCCAGCATGTTTGTCTCCATTTCGAAGGGGAAGTCCCGAAACGACCATGTACGCGTCTCCAATTGTTTCCACTTTATAAACATCGTAACCTTTGATTATGCGATCGAATACTGTGTAAAGATCGTTCAAAAAATTGACAACCTACAAACAAAAATTACGTTTCACAGAGACCTACAGTAACAGTAACATTTGACTCACTTGTAATGGGGTACTTTCTGCGGACATCGATGTGAAACCGACAATGTCGCTGAAATAAATCGTCACTTGATCAAACGATTCCGGTTCTACACCGTAACCCATTGTAAGTCTATTGGCTACAGGTCTGGAAGGGTAAATTTTAGTGTTAAATGTTCTTATTTATATTTATAAAAAAATACAACTTACTTCGGTAACATACGATGCAAAAGATCTTCAGTTTTCTTCTTCTCTTCGTCCAAAAGTCTGGTTCGTTCAGTGACGAGATCTTCTAAATTGTTTGCATACTTCTCCATCATATCCATCATTTGGTCCATAATATTCCTGTTCCTAAAAAATAATTATAATTAACTATTAGGTACCTTCAATAAATAAATAAATTATGTTCTTACTTCCCGTCTTTCATTCGTTTCAGTCTACCCCTAACAGAGGCAAAATCTGGTCTGTTATCAGGATTTTCAGCCCAACAATCCTTGACGCATTGTAAAACGTAATCTTCCCTACCCATTTCTGTGTCCAACAAAGCGTCCAAGTTAGGCCTAAAAGGTTCATCGCAGTTTTCTCCAGAATTTTTCACAAATTCTATTATCTCTGGAATAAAAATAGATAATTAAATAATTATATTGAAGTAATAATAGAACTTATCCACCTTTTGGTTCGTAACCTGTAGCACCAAATGGGCCTTTCCGTCCAATGATCTCATAAAGAATTATGGCAAACGCATACACATCTCCTTTTTGTGTTCCTCTAATGTAACCCTGAGGATTTCTAAGTATTTCAGGGGCTTTCCAAAATAAACCTACAATAAGTACAAGATAGGAGGTCCAATCTCATTAGTCTAAAAATGGTAAGAAATATTTACTTCTGTAATATTGGTGTTCTCCAATACTATCATTTTCTGCACAGGCTCTCATTTCAGCTAATCCAAAATCTGTTACTTGCAACACCCACCTGCTTGTAACGACACAATTTGAAGACTTAAGATTTCCATGGCAAATTAACATGGAATTATGTATATATAACATGCCCTGTAATGTTTAATTAATTATCATTTGGGATATTTTCATTAGCAAAGTAATTTATTGTACTAACTTTGATGAGATCATGGACTAGTGAAGCTATAAACATTTTATCCAGCTTTATATCTTCATTCTCAATAATATCCTAAAAAGTGGAAATTAATATTCGTCATTACTTCTTATTATTAAAAGTAAGGCATTGAAATCTATCAGAGAGTAAATAAATTTTAGTACAGAAAAATGTAAGAACATTTTATTACAAATGTTCAATTCTCTTTAGGTACAACTTGGAATGGAATTAACCCTTTTTGAAGCCAGAAGTCTCAAGTTAAACCCCTACCTTAAAATTAGGTGTCAAAACTAATATTTTTTACCAATTAGCAATAAATTATTGTTTTTGTGCTAGGAATCCTTTTAAAAAATATTGGGCCTAATTTTATACGAAATACGTACATATAAACTTCCTTTGGCACAATAATCAGTGACTAGTAGCAAAGCCATCGGTTCAACACAGGCACCTATGAAAGAGTTTATGTTATCGTGCCTCAGTTCCCTCAATAAACGCATTTCTTTCATCACGTCTCTAGAAATATCTTTTTTCCTGGAAAATGATAGTTCCTTTATCCTAACAATCACCCCTCGGTAAGTAGCAGTGGTTGCGAAAACTTGCGCACCTCCATGTGACTCAAAGGACGTAGCGCTTGCACTGTAAAGACTTGCCTGGACGGGAAACAGAAAATGTGTAATAATATTCGAACTTCCTTTTTCCAGGAATAATTTTTCTTACTTTGCTTGGAGATTGTACTATGTCGTGCTCATAATAATCACGAATTTCGTTGGGGTCGATTTTCCAAAGTAAACCTTCAATTTCTTGCTCGATTTTCCATTTTCGATAAATACTCATGGTTATGACTCCCGCACAAAACAGCATGATGGCCAAAGTTCCAGCAGCAATAATACTATTTAAATGTGTATCATTTTTAGGACACATTTCGTTATTAAACCCACAGCTCGGTTCATCGTCCGGCTTTACACCGCCTGGCCAATCTATTTGCCGATTTATTTTGTACTTCTACAACAATTAATCGGTTTAAATATAATATTTGCTTTCAAATTCGATCAATACTCGCATCCGATCTTTTAATTTGAATTGACATTCATGGAATGAGTATATGTATTTAAAATAATGTATTAAGTTTCAATTTCAGTTATCTATTTTATTTTTAAACATTTAATGTTAAATTTGATAAATTTCAATAAATGAAAAATCTACGACTCCACTTCTCCGGATCAGTTTTTCCGATTGGGCATTTTTCTGGCATTCAGAAATTCCGGATTTTTTTCTGGTTCCGTTAAGGTATGTAACAGTTTCCCCTTTCCCCTATTTTATTTTATGTGCATGTGTAAAATTCGCGACGGAGAATTTTCACCCGGAATTATTTACTGTCGGAAAATGGCTATCCGGAGAATTCGATTCGGAAAATTGTTCGGAAATCGTCTGCAATATCGAAATAACTACATTTTTAAGTTCATACAGTTACTTAATACTATTAAGATCAAACAGCCCCATTATATTTTTTGTCTGTGTGCCTGTACGAGTCAATCTTCGAAACGATTGAATCGATTTCAATGAAACTTTACAGTCACGAATTGGAAGCTATCAGGAGTGATCTAGACTGCCTTTACTTAAATGTTGAATGATTATATTAATTGTATTTATTATAAACAACTGGATACAGTCTCGCATTACTAAGTTTTAAAAATTGAAATCAAATCTGCCTTTAAGTAATCATAATGTTCGTATCAATTCATATTAAAAGAGTAACACATTTTAAATGGATTAGAAACATTCACGAAATAACTCACTCACTGGAAAATCCCCTTGCTGAAACTGTCCAACAGGTACCATCTGAAAATGACAGGTGAAATTGGACCGAACGTGGGATTGACTATCGGGAACCTTCTTCAAAGCCAAAACAGAAAAATTACCTTCTGAATCTCCATTTTTATCTAGTCTCATCGTTGCTCCAGTTATACCTTCAATGATTCAAAATGACCCGAAGGAACTTTATAACAAACATTTAATATCACTCACTCTGGTATGTTCCTGATTCAATAATAGTTTGTATAATTCTAGTGCCGTTACTGGCTATTTCTTCAATTATAGAATCATTCAAAATTTTTTCTTCGCTTAGCAATTTATGTAAAGCTTTTGCATACAGTTTCACGGAATCATAAAGATATGCAGCGTAAATGGAAACGTGCTGAAATCGTGATTATTATTATGTGCATTGATTGGAACGTTCTCAAAAGATATTACTTTGGAATAATTGCGAAGTGCGAATTTGTCGGGCACGTCAAACCCAAAAGGTTCCCTTTTGTTATATTCGTTGACTCTATTCGCGAATTCCTGGAAATTTTGCGAGGGTTGCGTGGAAACGACCACCAAAAGGGATCTGCCTCTCTTTAGAAAATCTTTTTGGTGGGAGATGCAGTTGCTATATTTGGTAAACGTTTCAGGTTCTACGATAAAAACGACGAAAATATACGAGAATGTTTTAGCAATGATCGAATAAACTTGACTTACTCCAGAGATACTTAAGCGCTTCTTTGGAAGAGTATGTGTTCATATCAACATAGATAACCATATACTCTCCCTTATCAAATAGTTGAGCTGTTTGCATTGTATTCATGAGATCGATTAAAGCCATAGATGTCCCTAGGAAAATGTAAACTAGAAGAGAATTTTATTGTATCAGAAAAAATTACTGAATTATTGAAGATTGAAGAAAAGTGTAAATGCAGTTATAGGAATATTGAATATATAGTTTTCGTTTTTTTGCAATTAATATATGTAAATCATTTAGGGAAGAAGATGACACGTATGCTGAGAAGATGGACTTACTTCTAGTCCTGTTTTTTGTATCTTGTATAAATTGGTACCAATAGCTACTGGAACAACATGGAAGCTTTCTCTCACAGCATTCGTGGTTGTCACCTACACTTTTCTTAACATTTATCGTCATATTCTTTTTTACAGCTTGATCTACAAGTGACTCTGCAACCGTTTCCCAAGCTTGATCATAAATAATGGAAAATTTTTGCCAACCATAATAACTTAGTAAGGCTATCACAGATTTTGTAACCTACAATTATTATCAAATATGTATGAGACATTATCAATCCTGCTTTTAGATTGTTATTGTTCCTTTTTTCTTTAAATGTTATTTATATACGGCAACGTAATTGCATGTATTGTTATAAAAGTTGACAAAACACTGCATCCAAAAGAAAATTCCTTTTTGGTAAACACATTTTGTTAACAATATAATTTGAAACCTTGTACTACAATTTAGCTCCTGTGGGCACTTTTTATTAACAGGAAATTAATTTTATAGTTTACTTACTTGGGTATTGGGAGGTTCAGTTCTAGCAAAAGTCGGAACACTTGACGCTGTATGGTCAGAACATTTCTAAAAGAATATTCACTTTCGTTAACCGAAATTGAAACAACATTACAACTGAAATTTTAACAATCTTACATAGCTTATCATAGGTATATTTCGAGACTGTGCTACAATGGCTTCAACATGACAGGAACCCTCAGGTCCAAAAAAAGCCGTCACCCCATCACAGATCATGTCAGTCATAGCTCTGGTTGCTAGAACAGTGTCTCCCCTTGTGTCATACCAACGATAAACGAGGGTCACGTTTGGTAAAAGGTTTGGATCGTTGTTAATCTATAATAATTTGACAACTGCTCATCATTAGTGTCCAAGAGGACAAGTTAAACATCCAAAAGAGCGTACAGGATGAACCCCCAAAGCTTTCAATTTATTCAGAAACAGTTAAAAGTCAAGTTCTTTAAATGAGCATTATGATCATACCCTTTAATTTTAGGAATCATTTGATAAAAAATTGAATATTTTAAGAGAATCTGAATTGCCTTTTAGAATGATTATAATGAAAGCTATCAGTTAAATTAAACGATCATTGGACTCTATTACAAAAGATTTTGTGGCGCCAATGTAGAAGCTTATAATATGAAGGATACGAAGGTAATTCTTCTACGAATGGCTATTTAGAATATACTAACACTAAAAAGTGTGTGTCAGGAATTTTTAATAATCATCGATTCAGAAGTGCGCAGTAAATAATATAAACTACGATCAGCAACAGCTAATAAACACATTATATAACCATGGTTATTTCCTTTTGAATTCCATTGACTTAAAAAATACGTTTGCAGCATGTTTATAACTAAAGTCGAAATAATTTAAAACCTGGCGGGAGCAATGCCAAAAGTGGATACTCGCTTTCTTTAGAGACAGAATTTTATGGGGCTTCAAATATAGGGTTGTTCGGAAAGTCATTTCGTTTTTCTTTGTGGAAATGAAAGACAGTTTTCGTATAATAAACAAATAGTTTATTAAATTATATATTGACCGTTCTGGTCCAACACCTTTTGCCATCTTTCTGGTAGTAGCATAATTCCACGCTCATAAAATTTTTGGTCTTTGCTGGCAAAAAACTGATCGAGGAGGTTTTTGACCTCCTCATTTGAGGTGAAGGTTTTACCGTCTAAAAAATTTTGGAGTGACCGGAACAAATAATAATCCGATGGTGCCAGGTCTGGAGAATATGGTGGGTGTAGCATTGTATCCCATTCAAGCTGTAAAAGCTTTTGGCGAGTGACCAAACTTGTGTGAGGTCTCGCGTTGTCTTGGTGAAACACTACACCTTTCCTGTTGATTAGTTCTGACCTTTTCTGTTGAAGTGCATCATTCAGTTTGTCCAGCTGATGACAGTAGACTTCCGAATTAATCGTTGTGTTATCCGGTAAAAGCTCAAAAAAAACGATTCCTTTAAAATCCCACCAAACAGACAGCATCACCTTTTTTTGGTGAATATCGGCTTTGGAAATGGTTTGAGCCGGTTCATCTTTTTTGCTCCATGACCTCTTGCGTTTGACGTTGTTGTATACAACCCATTTTTCGTCCCCAGTGATGATGCGCTTCAAAAACGGATCATTTTCGTGACGTTTGAGAAGCGAATCGCAGACGTCAATGCGGCGACACAGATTTCTCTCTGTGAGAACATGGGGAACCCATACATCGAGCTTCGAGGATAATCCCAGGCCTTTCAAGTGGTCATAAACTGTTGAATTTGATAAATTTAACCTCAATCCGATCTCACGTGTTGTTATTCGCCGGTTCACATCAACTAATGCCTTTATCGCGTCTTTATCAGCTTCAACCGGCCTTCCCGAACGTGGTGCATCTTCGACATCAAAATTGCCGGATCGAAATTTAGCGAACCAGTTCTGGCACTGGCGTACTGTCAACACACCTTCTCCATACACATCAGTCAATTTCTTTCTGGCTTGAACAGCATTTTTACCCTTTCTGTAGTAAAACAGTAAGATATGTCGAAAATGCTGCTTATCGCTCTCCATATTTAAAAGGGCACCAACCAAAAACTACTGCGTAGAATTAATTGGAATTTTTCACACACAAGCCTTGCTATATGAGCTCTCAAAGCATATAAAAATTATACGGCTTAAATGTGAAGTTAGGTGCAAAAGAATACAATTAAATCCTCTGTCGGGAAAAAACGAAATTACTTTCCGAACAACCCAATAGAAAAACAAAGTTATTTGAAAGATATAAACTATTTCAGATTAACTTTAAAAATACAACTTACTTCTTCAAGGGCCATGGTGAATGCGCCCGAGATAAGCAAGCCCTGCCTTTCCTTCAAGTCACCTTTTGCAGCTGTTAAGTAACCTACAGTAATATTCTTTTTCTTGTATAAGGGCGCAACCTTAAGGCTTTCCACGGTAAGGCTTGGTTTATTTGTATTGTTAGATACATTTTGGTACCTAATGTCCAAACCGTCATCGTCGAATGATTTTGACCAATTACTGGTGACGTTGCCTCCTCGAATGTGAAGGACATTCTTAAAAATAATTTAAGAATTGGATTTTTCGTTTTACAATACCTAACAAAGTTTCAATCACATTCTTCTTGCTAATAAATAAAAATACATCATACTTATTTTTAACAATACGTAATCTGCTTTTCCAGATAATTCTTCCATTGCGGTTAATTAATTGGTAAATATGTATGTATTTAGGAATACAATAGAAGAGAAAATCGATGCTTACTTGAATCAAAACAAGAATTCGTTTCATCTGTTAGAATTTGTTTGCATTCCTTTCACATGCTCGAAAGCGTAAAATTAATAAACAGGAATTGAGCTGATGTATCTCAACTCGTTTTATCAGAACGCATTATAAACAGTTAATGTTTGCTTTCGAATAATTAGGAATATTTGGCAATGCAAAGACACAACAGTTTTCCTCAAAAACTACCCCATTAATTGATAAAGGATTTCACGGCCAGTACAGTACATAATCTGATACTGCCCTGATTCGGGTCTATATTTTTTATTCAGGTGTAGAATAATTATTCAATATTACTGAAGTCTACGATTTTATACAGTGATTTTTTAAATCTTGGTATTTTTACTTCCACAATTTCGTGAACAAAAAATAAATAAATTTCCCGTTAGCAAAAATATATAGGTAAAGTTAAAAAAAAAAAGTAAATTTTTAATCGTCTCGTTTTTAAAATGAATCTCTTACTTGTTTGTCCGTAAAGGGTATGGAATTGACTGGATTAGGAGTTTTTGAAAATCCACTTGATGATTTCGGTGCGCTATGTGAGGAAATTGTGTTAAATCCTGAAGGCGCTCCGAATTCTGACGACGGTGCCGATTCATTTTTCAATGAAGTGTTCGAAAGTACGGCCCTGGCTATGAGAGGAAGTAGCAGCGCCACCAGCAGGGCCGGGCCGAGGCGCATGGCCAGCTTGCACTTTCAAGATTCGTTGTGGATCACCTGGAAAAAATAAAAATTTTTATGAAACAATAATATAATGTCGCATTATTATTATTATATTACTATTATCATCAGGACACAGGATATTAAGTCACAAAGCAATAAAATTTTACGAAGAACTTCACATATTGTACCTAACTAGACATGAGTTCCTTGCTTTTACTCAAGGAGTACGGATTAAGAGCCTGACTTGAAGGGGAAAGGACTCAAAGGAGTCAGAGTCTTATGTCGAAAGACATAGTTTTCACAAACTAGACTCTGGTTACTATTTGACATAAATATTGGAAAACGCGATTATACTATTAGTTCAGTGATTAAAAAAAACATAAATAAGTTTAATTCTTAAAAACTATTTTACTGTGTGTTGTTTTTATTGTCATTCACTAATTATTTTGTAGTTTGACGTTTCTTGTAACTTTATTAGTTTCAAAAACGTCCCATGATCCAGTGTTCAGAAGCCCATGTAGGATTGCCCTACATAAAGACAGTAACGTAGAAATTATTTAGTGAAATTTTTTGAAATATTATCTAACTGCATCAAATGCTTCCAAGACCCTCAGGATTCATCTCAAATAGGAGTGATATTGGAGTTTCTTTTTCTTTTCATGTCGTTTTCTCATTGAAAATTGGCGACCACATACTTAAATGAGTCTTTGTCTCTTGTCGCATGAAACATTTTTGTATTAATAGTAAGTCCTACATCTTCACACTCTCGGTTGACTCTCTAATAGGGTTTGAAGACCTTCTGCGCTCTCAGCCATTATGGTAGTTTCATCGGCGAATCCTATCAGGTTGTTCGTTAATGTTCCTCTAATGTTTACTCCCTCACATCTCTCCTCTAACACTTTTTGAAACATAAACTGAGAATACAGGCTGAACAGTTGTGTAGATAGATAGCAATACTGACGAACTCCTTTTTAAATTTTTGGATTTCGTCCGTTTCCATGCCATCAACACACTACTGCTGTTTGGTTGTAGTAGTAGATACTTTTCTTTAATCGTTTTGATCTAAACTGAGCCTTTTTAAGTTCTTTATGAATTTATTTTGCTTAACTTTATCAAAGGAGTCTTGAAAATAAATAAAGCAAACGTATTGGAGTTTGATACAGGGGATTACATATCTTTTGACTTAAACTTTGATGGTTATGGGATGGTATAACACAGAAACAGGGACTACCAAACGTTAAGCAGATGATACATTTCGTCTCTGTTAAGATTATGAAGGAGTTTATACAATTCCATGGAGTTTCTTGTCTTTCGGGCGGGGTAATTAGAGCATATTTTTGGTAGGTCTGGATATGAACCTTAAAACTCCAAATCGGTAGAGGTTTTCAAGGCAAGTTAGTGAACTGACACTGTCCTGATTCGGGTTTGGGTTTAAAGGACGAAGGACCTTTGAATAAGTTTGCCGCTTGTGCTAGCGAAACGTTAGGAAGCAACTTCAACAGTGAGCCTTTAAACCCAAATCTGGACAAACACCAATTTCCCTCAATCTTAACTAAACAGGAGACGCGGAACACGCTACTGCCATGGACAATGTCCACGGAATCCTTTACTTTTAAAAATATTGTTTTTTTTATCGGAGAACGGATGTCGTGACTTGTGTATGGTCTTGTTTTCGACTTTCAAGATTGGTTCGTTTGCACAATCGAGTTTGTAATATTCTTGCATTACGTATACGCAAATCTACATATTAATATGTAGATAGATATACATAAATGCCAGGTACGAAGTGTATACGTAAGTATGTGTAGGCATATCAGTTAACATACAGTTTAACAAACGATCTAAAAATAGCTCGAGTTCGAGACGTTTTACAACGTGAAGGCCAGTCGAATGCCTTCGCGTTTAGCATTCGATCGTATCAGCGAATTGCTTTTTTAATTCATTAATTAAAATTGTAATAGTATGCTCGAATAGGAATGATTCACTATCTGTCTCACCCGTTCGAGAGTCGCAAATGTAAAAATGCTACTTCATCAGCAGGAAGAATGGTAACGTAGCAATAAACTGTCTTAACTCATCCACATAACTCTGGCTTCCTTATTGGTCTCCACAAAAATAAACTATCTACTAGACGGTAGTCTTACAGCAGAATATCACAATCTCTACTACCTAAATTAAAATAAAAAAAAGAATATAGCGTCGACTAGCGCTCATATGATGTACACATATTTATATGTATAAAAACCAATTTAATTTTAACAATTTTATTTTGGATAGTACCATCAATTCGCTAAATAGGTGTATATTTTTTATTTTTAGTAGAATTCTATTGGACACTTCAAAATATTTTTTTTAATTTACATTGTACAGTAGAATATGTAAAACATTGCTACGTTCGAGATACAGAGGTCCAATTTAATTTTTCGAGCTGTAGAGGGAAAATATGTACCAAAATGGATTATTTCAACCAGTCGAGGGTTGAGATTTCGAGTAATGGAGGTTTTGGGGCTTCAAGGGAAGGGAACAAAACATTTTTTCGAGTTTTGGAGGTTTTCGACTTATCGAGGTTAGACTTAAAGAGGTTCTACTGTGGATACTATCATAGGGTTGCCATAAGTTCTAGGAGCCCGTACGGGATACATTGATGTTAAAAGTTACCTTCTAATCTCAACGGAATCTAACTAAATCGTTCGTATTCGCATTATTTTCGCAATATGCCATAAGTAAATTGAGAGTTCGTTTAGTTTTTTAGGATAGCTTTTAGAGAGTATGCCACACTTTTAGGTTGAAATTCCATACGTTCATAAAATGATAAAGAAAAAAATGCTGCTTTTAAAAATCTAAAATTTAAAAAGGATGCGATGTTGGTAAATGCAGAAACTTACAAGTTATCTGCGGAACGCCAATTCTGTATCATCAAAAGATAATTAAAAATGAAATTTCACAGACCTCTTTTACAGGCAAAACAGACACATGTTACTGTAAAAATATCCAGTACAGATATATGTAACATGTTGCCTGCCTCTATCTGGCTATTACTTAATCTAGAAGGTGATCGTCAAAGGTTAAGAACGTAAAAAGTATTACGAAAAAAATGCTTTATTTTTCAACATTCACAAAAAAGAAATTGACATTTAATATTAATTATCTATGTAAAGAGGTCGTTTATAGATAGTAAATTTTCGCATTCTTACACGCGTTTCATACTACCTACCTACTATTTGTAAAATGAAAAAACGTTAAATATTAATTTCACTTGTTTCTAGAATTTTTTTAAACGAGCGATACATAATTAAATAACCTAGTCAGGAGATAATTTGCGGTCGTTTTATGTTATATTACAACAGCAACTCAGGGTCAGGGGCTTTCTATAAATAGTAAAGGTATTTTGCTTTAGCCATTCCATGGTAAGTGCGTTACGAACATACATCGAGATAGAATTATTGTACACTGTGCCTCCTAACATGAACATAATGTGCATAAGTAATACATACACAGCATATGTACATAATTATAAAAAGCATGATATTATATTCTTATCGAATCAGATCATTTGCCAGTCATACAAAACATACTATTATTCTATTGGTTGCTATTTTTAATAGTTGGTTACGTAAGCCGCTGCCAAATTATACCGTAACAACAACAAAATTGTTATCTTGATAAGTTCAGCCGGTTCACGAAAAAACGCCGTTGTTTAGTCACTTTTTTCAGCAATTATAGAAGGAACGACAAAAATTTTTGTTTTAATTGATAACTGAACAAACAGAAAAGCTCAAAACCCCAACGCCAAAACACAATAAAGTTATTGAAAAAATATAAATTAATATTGTCGTGTTTTGGCGTTTTGAGCTTTTCTGTTTGTTCTACAACAACCGCCAAAGTTTTTCCAATCTTCATATTTCGTCATGACCGGGAAGTCATCGGATTTAAACAGGTATCATAAACATAGTTGTAAGATTAGATTAATTGGTGCAGATATCCAATTCTTAAAAACCTGTGAAGGTAACTCTCTTTTCCCAGAGTTTATGAATATTAAAGTTTCAAAGAACTGTAGTTATTGAAAAAAAATAAATTAATATGTCGTGTTTTGGCGTTGGGGTTTTGAGCTTTTCTGTTTGTTCTACAACAACCGTCAAAGTTTTTCCAATCTTCATATTTAATTGATAACAACTCATTTCTATCAAAATATTAAAGGTGAATACTGTCATTCCAGAATTGAAATGCAAGAAATGAAATATTCAGCCCTTTCGGAAACCAACCAGCCCACTATGTTGAAGACTGGAAAGGTCTGCAAAGGGACCTAACCAGCGCGGTAAAATTTTAAGGACGCGAAAATTATTTTACAGTTTTGGCTTATCTCTTATCGGGTGTACTCCGTACGAAGTTAAAAACCATGATATCATAATATAATCCTGATTAATTCCGGGACCTTCCCGTAGTTTTCTTTTATCACAGTTAATGATTCACCGCTCCGTTTATAACAATATATTCAACATGGAACTTTCGTTTTCCGTTATTTTATTTCAATACAGTGTATTCAGTAGGAAAGTTCACATTTGAATGTGTTGTAAATAAAAAAAGCGAATCAATTAAACGTATTTATTTACATGAAAATATTCATAAACTTATCGAGGGTTTCACTTATTTCCTTTCGAATGTTTTTCGTCCGTTAGGAATGTTATTGTTAGTGGTTTGTGGGAGTAAATTTTTCACTTTAGATGGCACCCACAAAAATAATCACATGGGGTGAGGTCTGTGTATGTTTCCACGGTTACTTTATGAGGTCAATCCTGCTCGTGTGCCCATTAACTCCCTAGCTGTATGGTAAAACCATGTGCTTCTGTCACATCGCGTATCATGTTCTACATAAGTAGCGAAAAGAATGTCAATCATGTTCTTGTATCGTTCAGAAGTGACATTTACTGCTAGGCAATTGTAATTTTCAAAGAAAAACGGGTCAATTATGCAGCTAACGGATATGCCGCACCAAAAACAGTCACCTGTCTTTGATGTCTGCTTTTAGGGTTTGAGGGTGAGGAACTTCTGAAGTT